CACTGCCACCCCCGCCTCCACCGCCACCCCCGTCTCCACCTCCACCTCCCCCACCAGGACCGTCGCTCCCACCGCTCCCACCGCCTCCTCCGCTACCACCTCCGCCGCCACCTCCGCCTCCACCGCCGCCACCAGTACCTCCACTCCCGCCACCACCCCCACCGCCACCCCCACTCCCCCCGCCACCCCCACCGCCTCCTCCACCGCCCCCTCTAGCTCCACCCGCTCCCTTGCCCCCCTTGCCCTTGCCAGCGCGGCGTCTGCCGCTGGGGGCAGACGCCGCGCCGACCGACTCAAAACCAGTGAGGTCGGCCGCAGCGGCAGAGGCGACAGAGGGCAGCAGGGGGGAAGGACCACACCCCTCAAAGATGGGGGTGCGAGGGTCACCCCGAGAGGCCCCTACAGCGACAATACTCTTCTCAGCCGCTAGCAGGGACTCCTCAAGGAGGTCGACAGTGAGAGTGGTGGGACAGACAGAGAGAAACTGGTCCCTAACGACACGAAGGGACTCAGGGAGACGGGTGACGAGAAAGTAGAGAGTGATGTACATGGGAGGAGGGTTCGCAGCGCGGAACTCAGCAGGAAGGGCAGCGCGGTAGCGGGTGTCACTAGCACGGAGGTGGGTAACGAGGTCAGCGACAGTGGGAAAGGAAGCGAGGTCAGGGAAGAGAAACGGTAGCATGAGGCGGCTAAGGGTAGCGGAGGAAGGGGAGGAGTAGCGTGCAACTACAGCGTCGTACAAGGCCTGAGCGGTCTTGCACTGACTAAAGTGGGCACGCTCAGAGGAAGGGAGGTGGCGACGCACAGCAAGACGTGCAGCAGCATCGCGGGTCGCCCACTTGGAGCGAACGGCAGAGTCAGCATCAGCAGGAGGGGCAGGGACAGCGCCAGAGACAAAGTCAAAGAGAGAGACCTCATCTATCGCATCACACAGTAAGTACAGCTGCAGGTCTTCAATCCAGACGGCAAAGTCAATGGCCCTCCCCTCAGCGTCAAAGGTAAGAACATTGGGGGTGGCCATGACAGCAGCTGAAAATCTCACCGGGCTGGGAGAGGCGGGTAGGTCAGCAGCAGAGGAACAGCAGCACGGCTCCGCAGGCGGCTCGGGCGGCGCGGGCGGCTCGGGCGGCACGGGCGGCTCGGCGGCGGCTCGGGCGGCGGCTCGGTGGCGGCTCGGCGGCGACTCGGCGGCGGCTCGGCGGCGGCTCAGGCGGCGGCGGCTCGGCGGCGGCTCGGCTGCTGCTGGGCGGCGCGGGCGGCTCGGGCGTCACGGGCGGCTCGGCGGCGGCTCGGGCGGCACGGGCGGCTCGACGGTGGCTCGGGCTGCGGCTCGGCGGCGGCTTGGCGGCAGCTCGGCGGCGGCTCGGCGGCGGCTCGGCGGCGGCTCGGCGGCGGCTCGGCGGCGGCTCAGGCGAAGCAGAGTGGCGGCGGGGCCGCGACCGAAGAGAGCGGCGGGGCCGCGTAGCAGAGGGCGGCAGGGGCCGCGTAGCAGAGGGCGGCGGGGCCGCTACCGAAGAGAGCGGCGGGGCCGCGTAGCAGGGGGCGGCGGGGCCGCGTAGCAGAGGGCGGCGGGGCCGCGTAGCAGAGGGCGGCGGGGCCGCGATCGAAGGGCGGCGGGGCCGCGTAGCAGAGGGCGGCGGGGCCGCGTGGTAAAGGGCGGCGGGGCCGCGATCGAAGGGCGGCGGGGCCGCGTAGCAGAGGGCGGCGGGGCCGCGTAGCAGAGGGCGGCAGGGCCGCGAGGCAGAGGGCGGCAGGGCCGCGAGGCAGAGGGCGGCGGGGCCGCGTAGCCGAGGGCGGCGGGGCCGCGATCGAAGGGCGGCGGCGGGGCCGCGTAGCAGAGGGCAGCGGGGCCGCGATCGAAGGGCGGCAGGGCCGCTAGGGAAGGGCGGCGGAGCCGCGAGGGGAAGGGCGGCGCAACGGTCCGCTAGGGGCGACACGACGGGTCGCTAAAAAAAAACGCGCCTCGGGGCGCGGTTCGGTGGGCCCTAGAAGCAGTCCCTAGGAGGGAACCTGCTCTGATTCCATGTGAAAACAAAGAACGAGAATGAAATGACTATGAACGAAGTGAGTACAAATAGGAAACCCTAATTGGGTGTACCCCCTATGGGATACCCCACTATAGCCTACAGAAACAAGTAAGCTATAAGTTCTGACAGCTCACAGATTTACTTCGTAAAGGGGTCGCTTTTACGTGGGGGGAGAAAGAGCATGCCGCCTTCTCTGCCCTGAAAACTGTTCTCTGTTCACCACCCGTCCTACGCATCGCTGACCCACATCGCCCCTTCGAGGTTGTTACAGACGCGAGCGACATCGCCATCGGAGCCGTACTGTTACAGGACTTCGGCAACGGCCTCCAACCCATCGCCTACGAATCACGCAAACTGCATCCGCCCGAGCGAAATTACCCGATACACGACCGCGAAATGCTCGCGATCGTGCATGCATTCAAAGTGTGGCGCTGCTACTTGACCGGCGCAGACGTGACAGTACGGACAGACCATCGATCCCTACAGTACCTCCGTGCACAGCCCCACCTCAACCCACGACAGATTCGGTGGCTCGATTTTCTCGAGTCAAATTTCCATTACACAGTCACATATAAAAAAGGAGCCTCGAATATCGCCGACGCACTGACCCGCCCCATTGCCCAGATCCATGCGATCCTACTTGCCCAGACCAGCCCGCTACTAACAGGACTATTTACCCACGGATATCAAACAGACCCATTCTTCACAGGAGGAAACCCGCAGCAATTCGCAGCAGCCAAGGGAGTCTATTACGTAAAAACTGGAACCGACCGCATCTGGGTACCAGGGTACACACTACTACGGGAATTACTGTTACAGGAGGCACACGACGGAGTTACCTCGGGACATTTCGGAGTGGAAAAAACACGGTAGCAGCTGCAGCGGTATTATTACTGGCCCGAAATGTTGACCGACGTGCAACGACATGTGGCGTCGTGTCCCACTTGCTAGATCATGAAGTCAACCAGGAAGCGGCCGGCGGGGCAATTGCAGCCGATCCCACCCCCAGAGCGTGCATGGCAGCAAGTGACGATGGACTTCGTCACGGGGTTACCGGCCGGGGCGAATGGGAATGACGCGGTCTTGGTCGTCGTCGATCGACTGACGAAAATGGCACACTTCGCAGCCTGCAAAAAATCAATCACAGCCGAGGAAAGAGCCCGCCTCTTCATCTCCACCGTCGTTCGACTGCACGGGATACCAGCATCGATCATCAGCGACAGAGACACGAAGTTCACCAGCAACTTCTGGCGGAACCTGTGGCAGCAGTTCGGCACACGACTACAATTCAGTTCATCGTATCATCCCGAAACCGACGGACAGACAGAACGGACAAACCAGACCATGGAGCAACTCATTAGGGCCACGTGCGACGACCCAAACACGTGGGAACAACAGCTGCCACTCATGGAATTCGCATACAACAACGCGCCATCCGCAACTACCCAACAGTCACCATTCTACATGAATTACGGACAAGACCCCACAGTACCCATGACCCCAAATCCCGACAACCCCGTTCCACGTGCACAACAATTCGCCGAGATTTTGCAAGCAGCACGGACCAGGGCAGCCGAAGCAATAAAAAAATCGAACATCATCGCTAAACGCAACGCCGACCGCCACCGCAGACCTGTCACTTATCAGCCCGACGACCTCGTTTTACTCGACACTCAAAACCTCCGCCTACCCGTAACTCCAAAACTCCGCCCCCGATACTGTGGGCCATTCCGGATTAGCCACATGATCACGCCTGTCACCGCACACCTCCTCCTCCCTGCTGACTGGTACGTCAGCCCCTCGTTCCACGTCAGCTTACTTCGCCCTTACGTACCGTCCACCGGCCAACTCCCACGACACCGACCATCCAGCATGGCACGACCACCATCCGAACCCATCATCACCCCCGACAAAATCCTGAGTCACAGAATTCGCGATCATCGCATCGACAATCATTCCACCATTTTCGCACATCGCATCCCGACCTCACGGCTCGGCGGGTAACCCGCGCTCCAGGCCCAACCTCAGTCCCAGGCTCGTCGCGCGACAACCACAGCCCATTACCGTTACCGCTGTAGTTTCGCTATATATTATTCGCTCATGCCTTCGCTCATTGTATTCTTGCTTCGATAGTGCAATTCTCGTTCGTTCACTCAATTGCACTCGTAACAATGGATCAACATATCATGGATGGGTTATCATACATGTAACATGCAAGAAGACTTTCAACAATAATGCATCCCATACTCTCTAGAACATCGCCAAAAAAAATATAACTACAGCTTATCCCAAGCAGGGCTGACTTTTCAAATTTAGGTACCCTGATTTCAACCTTCAAAAAAAAATTTTACCATGAAGGCACATTTTCCAGAAAAACAGCACCCTGATTGCTCAGGGTTGAGAAGTAGTGAACTCTGAATGTTCAAGGTCGAGAATTGAAAATCAGGGTCGTAGTAACGCGCTCTTTCTTTACCGAGGACAGAAGTGACTGGCACTGTGGCGATGTGACTGGCACTGTGTTAGAGCACATCTATTTCGACCAATAACAGCAACCTAAAATCTGACATTACAGATTCGCCCGATCTAGATGGTGGGTGTATGGGAACGAAACTTTGAAGAAACTTCGTCTCGATAAAGCGAGCGGGGGGGGGGGGGGGGGGGGGGGGGGGGGCACTGAAATCAATGCGAAGGGGTTATCGGGAGGAAATTTCCGAGAAACTTCGCCCCAACAACATTGCATTCAGGGTCCACAGGCCTCGTACTCTGTATTGACAGGGTCCGTGAAAACCCTACACTGAGAATGTACACAAAATTTCAGGGTCCGCTAAAGCAATATGAGAAATTTTTTGTAACAAAAAATTTTACAGATTGTGGTTCGACTTGAAGAGGGGTTTGCTGTAAAGGAGACATTCTCCTTTACCTTTAGGCAGGTCCTCGGGACCTACCACCTAGTCTCATTACCTACCTCGGGACCTATGACGACTGCACTGCACACTCCTCTGAAAGTCGTGTCACATTACTCTGAATGGATCAGGGACCAAAATGTGAAAAACCTGATTTCTCTGGGTCCAGAAAGTGACAAGTCTGAAATCACCCTGAAATCAGGGTAATTACCCTGATAAAATCAGCCCAAGAAATATAATCTGGATTGTACTGCATACCATTTCTGGATCGCAGTATCCCCTCGATCACTTATCCACTTCCCATGGCAAGCCGCAAAACATACTCTTTCCACTCCTTCGCCCCCGTTCCCTCCTCCTCATCCGAATTCTTCTCTTCCTCCTGAACCTCCTCCCTCCTCACGTTTCCCCTTCCTCTCCCCCCATCTTGACCCATACCCTGTGCACCAGTCACATTCCCCACCCCTGGTGGATAAGCAAGAAAATTCCCACTGCTACCAGGTTGCATGGCGACATTTCCGGGTTGCATTGCAATGCTTCCCGGCTGCATGGGAATGCTCCCTGACTGTATTCTCTCCTCGTGAATCCCACCCCCCACCACCATCCTTCCATGCACAAACCCACTTGGAAACCCCCCTGCTGCTGCTGCTGCTTCTCCTCCCACTCCTCCCCCTGCTCCCGAACCTGCTCCCGAACCTACTCCCGAGCCTGCCCCCGCCCCTACTCCTCCTCCAAAACCTCCTGCTCCAACCCCTACTTCCATCCCCCCAAGGGCTGCCCCTCCTGCTCCACTCCCCATCTCCCTCACCCCAGACACCATCCCACCCCCTCCTCCAGCCACCTCCCCCACTCCCGCCCCTCCCCCGCTTCCCCCTCCCTCCACCTCTCCGCTCACCACAACCCCTCCCGGCCGCCAGTCCTTCCAATCCTTCCAAGTCTTATTCTTAATCATCACCATCGCTTCATCCGGATCCATTTCCCCTAGCACCTCCCTCTGCTGCTCAGTCAGAAACTTGAAAGTCCGCCCCTTCCCTCCCTTGAACACGAAATTCGCCGCTTCGGCCGCCGCTGCCGCCTCCAAAACTTCCTCATACTGCCCGCAGTGGATGCTTTTTCCTACCGCGTACCTCTGCCTCTGGTCAGCGTTCATCGAAAGTTTCGCTGCCCATTTCCGGCCGTTTCTTGCCACTCCATAGTACCCCGACGCCCAGGAGACATGGCTTGAGTTACCGCCCCCACCCCCACCACCAGCAGCACCACCTCCTGCTTCACCCTCCTCTCCTTCTGCTAGGTCCCTCTCGTCTGCGCTCGTAGGGGTGCTTTTGGCTGCTTGAGGGGCAGATGGAGCAGCAGTGGCAGGGATGAGGGACAGAGGGGACTTCTGTGTGGGCAGTGGAACTAGGGATAGTGGCTGCTGCTGCTGCCCCTGATGCTGCTGCTGCGCGTGCTGCTGCTGCTGCCACTGTTGCTGCTGTTGCTGTGCTTGCAGCTGCTGCTGCTGTCCCTGCTGCCACTGTTGTTGCTGCTGCTGCTGCTGTCCCTGATGCCATTGTTGCTGCGGCCACTGCTGCTGCTGCATAGGCTGGGACAGTGGCTGCTGCAGCCCCTGAAATTGCTGCTGATGCTCCTGTTGTTGCTGTTGCTGCTGTTGCTGATGTGCTGCTATGCTACCCTGCTGCTGCATTGGAACCTGCCCCATCCACCCTTGCGCTTGCACCTGCTGCTGATGGTGCTGCTGCTGCTGCTGTTGCCACTGCTGGGGTAGCGACAGACCCACTTGCTCCCCTCCCCCCTGCCCCTGTCCCTGCCCTGGCCCCTGCCCCTGCTGTAACCAGTTCCTACTGCCGCTCCCCTCTCCATCTTTCCTCTCCTCCTCCTTCGCTTTCAACAGCCCACCCTCATTTCGCCCTTCCCACCACCCCTGGCTAGCCTGCTGCTGCTGTTCCTGTTGCGGCCGGTGTTGGTGATGCTGCTGCTGCTGCTGCTGCTGCTGCTGCTGCTGGTGCTGCCGGTGCTGCTGTTGCTCCTGCTGCTCCTGCAGCTGCTGCTGTGGCAAGTGGGCCTGAATAGGTCCCCGCTCGCCTCTCCACTCCTTCCATTCAGCCCACCGCTTCTCCCTGACCAACCAAACAGCAGTATCCGCCCCCATGTGACTCAACATCTCTCTCTGCCCTTCAGTTAGGAACCTGAACTCCCTCTTCCCCTCCCCTTTGAACACATAATAAGCCGCCTCCGCCGCCGCTGCTGCTTCATATAGATCCTCCCATTGGCCACAGTGCAGCTTCTGATATACCCCATATAAGGCTCTCTGCTTAGCGTCCATAGGAACCTTCACAGACCACTTCTTACCGTTACGAAACACGCCAAAGTAACCAGACGCGTACCCCTCCCCCGGGGGTTGCGGCAGGGTCGAGTGACCTGGCCCTGCCCCGTGCTGACCAGCCGCTGAGTCAGCATGGCCCAGCGCTGACTCGCGGTGACTGGGCGCTGAGCTGTGCTGCTCCGGTGTGCTGTGTCGGTGCGCTGGAGAGCCAATCAGAACGAGAGCTTGCGAGGACTCTGGGTAATGCGCCTCCCTCCCATGCTGTCCCCGTTCTCGTTCTCGTTCTCGTTCTCGTTCCCGCTGTGTCACAGCAGCATCGCTATACTCATTCTCTCTGCTTGCCACATCCTCGTCACTATGCGCGCGTCGAGCCCTCTTGAACTCACGCTCGCTATCCTGCTCATGCTCATGCTCATGCTCTCCCCCTTGATGCCTCCTCCCATGGCCCCTTCCGTGCCCCCTCTCGTGCCCCCTTTCGTGCCCCATCTCGTGCCCCCTCTCGTGCCCCTTCTGCTTCTCCCTGTGTCTGTGATACTCATGCCCCATGCCTGAGGCCTTACCTGTCATCCCAGTTTCCTCCTCCCGCTCCTCCTCTTCCTCTCTCTTTGCCATCCTCCCGGAGCCTCTCACATGGTCGCTGGGAGGAGAGGCGTTCAAGGATAGCGACAGGGATGACGCAAACTCGTTCTGAATCTGCTGCTTCTGCCCGTGCTGCTTCTCCCTTCCTGTACCCGACTCTGGAAGGACCCTGTCGTCTCTTGCTGCTGCTGCTGCAGGGCCAGGGAAAGCGTGCTCTGAGTGAGAAGGAGCCGAGGAGGAGGGAGGAGAGGAGCGGGCAGAGGAGGGATGAGAGGGATGACGCATGGGGCTCAGCGGAAGGAGGGAGAGAGGAGTATATGCAGGTACAGCCTCCGTTCCCCCCCTTCTCCCCCTCCCTCTCCCTTCCTCCTCCTCCATCCCATCCTGCCGCTCCCATCCTTCCTCCTCCTCCTCCCGGCCCCTCTCTCCCCTCCCTTCTCCCATCCCCACCTTCCATCCCTCCCCCCTCTCCTCCCCTCCCTCCTCCCCCACAAACCACCCCGTCCCATCCCCCTCCTTCCCCGCCCGCCAATCCCTCCACACCTTCCACCTCCTCTCCTTAATAATCCTAACTGCCTCATCCGGTCCCATCTGCCTCAGCCTCCTCTTCTGCTCTTCACTCAGCAATCTAAACTCGATCTTCTCCCCTTTCAGCACTAGATAAGCCGCCTCTGCTGCGATTGCTGCCTCCCCCACGTCGTCCCAAACTCCGCAGTTGAGAATATGGCCTACAGAGTAGCTCGCTCGCTGCTTCATGTTCATTGATAGTTGCACGGCCCACTTTCGACCGCTCTTCACCACTCCGAGGTATCCCGAGGCTGGTCTTGGGCCGTGATTCGCCGGGTTCAACGCTGCAGCTGCTGCTGCAGCAGCTGCGGTGGTTTCTGTAGCAGGAGCGGCAGACTGCCCGTCTGCTGTGGTTCCCGCGGCTGTAGCAGCACCTGTGGCACCGGCAACAGCAGCAGCGTGCGGGTCAGGGGTATGAGCAGGTGAATGTGCAGGTGGGAGCACACTCCCTGGCGTGGGGACAGATAGCCAAGGGAAGGGTGCATTGCTGCCCGCAGTAGCAGGAACAGCACCTGTAGGAGCAGCAATAGGACCATGAGAGCTGCTGATAGGATGGAGAGGGGGAGGAGGAGGAGGGGGCGAAGAAAAAGGAGGAGGGGTCATGCTGGGAGCAGCAGCAGCAGCGCCACCACCACCAGCGCCATCAGCGGCACCACCACCAACCGCCTTCGTCCCCCCCCACGGTAAACCCATACCACCACTTAGCGAAGTCCCAGCACTTATCGACCCACCACCACCACCACCATTACCATCACCATCACCACGAGCACCACCGGCACCACCACCACCCAAGGAACCCCCACTCAAAGAATCAACCCCCAAAGAACTCTCCCCAAGCCCTTTACTCTTGAGCGCACCAAATGAAGATCCCAGCATCTCCCTTATCCTTGCTACACGCTGATGCTGGCTGAACGACTCATGCGGCCATGCCTCGTTATGAGCTGACTCGTTGGAGGAGAAGAGCGGGAGGGTGGTTGCGGTGGGGGTAGGGGGAGGGGGAGAGGCAGGGGCGGGAGCGGGAGCGGCGGTAGGAGGAGGAATGGTGAGAGTGGTGGCGGCAGAAGCAGGAGGAGGCGTTGCGACAGCAGCAGCGGAACCAGCAAGACCAGCAGCAGCACCACCAACACCACCACCACCAGCACCACCAGTACCAGCAGCAGCAGGAGTGGCAGGATGGGCAGGAAGAGCTATGGGAGGAAAGAGGCCTAGTGTACCCTCATGCTGTTGCAGGAAGGCCTGTGGGGGAGGGAGCAGAGACGGGTGCAGCGGAGGAGGGTGCAGTGGCGGGGTTGATGCAGGTGGGAGGGAGAGAACGAAACTTGGCACCTGCTGCTGTGCCTGCTGCTGCTGCTGCTGCTGCTGCTGCTGCGGGTGCTGCTGCTGTTGACTCTGTTGACTATGTTGGCCCTGCTGACTCGGCACATTGTCCACGGCAGGAGGAGGGGGGGGAACAGAGAAGGTGCGGGGCATGGCCAGCAGCTCGCGAATGGACGCCACAGGCTGATGATGCTGCAGTGTGGGGTTGCTCTGCTGATGCTGATGCTGCGACACGGGAATGCCCTGCTGATGCTGATGCTGCAACGTGGGTGTGCTCTGCTGTAGCATGGGTGTACCCTGTTGTGATCCAGCAAAAGGGGGAAAAAGCATTGGATGGGATGCGGAGGGTGCTGCAACAAGGGGGGATGGAGCAACTTGAGGAGGAAAAGGAGGAGTGGAAAGAGGCGGAGCAGGAATGGACGGAGGGGGAGGAGGTTCGGGGTAGAGATTCAGGGGCTGCTGGGCATTCAGGTCGAGTTTCAACCCCCGCGGTTCTTGTTCCTCCTTTTCCGCTTTCTCCTGCATCACATGCTGCTCTCGCTCCTTGCCCTTCCACCTTTCACCTTCCTGCTGGTGTCTCTCCTTCTCCTGCTGGTGTCTCTCCTTCTCCTGCTGCTCCTTCTCCTGCTTCTCCCTCACTTTCTCCCTCTCTTTCTCCCTCTCTTTCTCCCTCTCCTTCTCCCTCTCCTTCTCCTTCTCCTTCTCCTTCTCCCTCTCCTTCCCCTTCTCCTTCTCCTTCTCCCTCTCCTCCTTCTCCTTCTCCCACTCCTTCTCCCTCTCCCTCTGCTGCTCCCTCTCCTGCTCGCTCTGTTCCTCCCTCTGCCCATCCGCATGCCTCCCCTCCCACCCCTCATGCCACTCCAACATCATTGGCGCACCCTCCTGACTCTCCCCCTCTCCCTGCCCCTCATTCCCCTCCCCCTGCCCCTCATGACCCCCCATCCCGTGCCCCTCATTCCCCTCCCCCTCCCCGTGCTCCTCCTGCTGCGCGCCCCCCACCCCATGCCCATCCCCACACTCAGCCAACCCCATCCCCTTCACCCACCCAGTCTTATTCGGCTGCCATTCATTCCACTCCCTCCACCTCTTCGCCTTAATCAGCCACATCCCCTCATCCGGATCCATTCCCCCTAACACCTCCCTCTGCTGCTCAGTAAGAAACTTCCACGTCCGCCCCTTCCCTCCCTTGAAAACAAAACACGCTGCTTCGGCCGCCGCCGCTGCTTGCTCCACCTCCTCCCACTGCCCGCAGTGCATGTTCTGGCACACCCCGTATCTGGCTCTCTGCTGAGAGTTCATAGATACCTTAGCCGACCATTTCCGCCCGTTTCGAGACACGCCAGGGTATCCTGAGAAATGCCATGAGCGTCCACTGGTGCCGTGATTCCCACCTGCTGTTGCTGCTCCCGCTCCTGCTCCCCCTCCTCCTCCACCCCCGCCACTGCTGTGCCCGTCCCCACGGCCGTGGCCTCCCGAGTTGTGACTCCCACTGCCCTGCGCTGCTGCTGCTGCTGCTGCTGCTGCTGCTGCTGCTGCTGCTGCTGCTGCGCTCCCATTCTGCGGCTCCTGCCCTTGGTATTCCATGTAACCCTGCACTTGCTGCTGCTGGTTATAGTAGTGGTAAAGGTGCTCCTCCCGTGTGCCTGCCTCTGCGTCCTCTCTCGTCTTCTTCCCAGGACTCCCCTCCACACCCTTCCCTCTGCTCCTGCGCCTGCTCCTGCCCAACCCCTTCCCACCACTGCTCCCTACTTTACTCTCCCCCACCCCCATCCCTCCCCTACCCACACCTCCACCCCCTATTCTCTGCTCGTCACCGGCCCCATACACTCCTCCTGCGGCAACCAGCGCACGCTCATACAGCTCATTCCCCTCGTAGCCAGCATTCCCTTCATAGCCTGTTTCCACAGGCACTATCGCTAGCTCCGTCCCAGATGGTCTCTCCTCCCCTGCAAGCCCAGCAGCCGCAGCAACCCCAGCAACCCCAGCTGCCCCAGCTGCCCCAGCAGCCCCAACAACCCCAGCAGCTGTAGCAGCTGTAGCAGGAACCCAGAGCTTCTCCTCCTGCTCTGCTGCGTGCCTGCAGAACTCGACCAGCCGTTGCTTCTGGAACTGAGCCGGTAGGTGCTGAGGCAGGCCGGCAGGCATGCCCCACTGCCACTCGCTGCCGGCTGTAGCGCCGGCTGTAGCAGCGGCTCTTGCCCCGGCTGTAGCGCCAAATGTAGCGCCGGCTGTAGCAGCAGCTGTAGCAGCGGCGTCTATGGCTGTGGCGAATTTAGCTGGCCCTAGGATTGCAGCAGCGTCTGCTGTGGCTGCTGCTGCTGCTTCTGCTGCTGCAGCTGCTACGGACTCTGCAGCAGAGACAGCAGCCAGGGCACCTGTAACAGGGTTACCAATACCACCGAGCTGCGAGACCTCAGTAGTATCATCCTCGCTACTGTCACTACCACTGGAGTCACTATCATCCCCAGAAACATAAGCATCGCTGCTGGCTCCAGCAGCGGCCGCAACACGCCCCTTGTCATCTACCATCTCCTCTCCTGTCTGCTCTTCCTTCTGCTCTTCCTTCTGCTCTTCCTTCCGCTTCTGCTTCTGTGTGCGCCTCTGTTCCCGTCTCTGCTTCCTCCTCTGCTCTCGCCTGTGCACCCTCCAAGCATCCATGACCCCAGTCCACGCCACCATGCGCCCATGCCATGCGCGCATGATGCCATCCCATGCATGCATCCGCTCGTCCCACTCCCGCATCTTCCTCCCCTCGTTCCTCTTTGTAACCACCCCCCCCACACCCTCTGTAGCTGGACCTGCCGCACCAGGAAAAGCTGCTGCTGCAGAAGCTGCTTCCGCAGGAGAATCCGCAGCAGCAGCAGCAGCAGCAGGAGCAGGAGCAGCAGGAGCAGCAGGAGCATCTGCATCAGTTGGAGTGGGAACTATAGGGCTATCCGTCGCTGCAGCGAAACCCACTCCTTCAGGCTCCTTCCCTTCTTCGGTCGAAGCCAAACTCACCTGCTGACTCCCTCTACCACCCTCGCCTTCGCCCTTCTTGCTCCCTTCCTCCTCCGCATCTTCTCGCCTTCCCCTCTCTCCTCTCCCTTCTGCCACGTGCCTCTGCTCTCCTCTCTTCTCATCAATCATCATTGCATCGTCCCCCTCATCACTGGGGCCTAACTGTGAGGCATCGGCATTGCCACTCGCAACACCATCCCCCTCAGCAACACCCGCATTCCCTTCCATCGACTCCCTTCCCTCTCCTCTCTTCTCCTCCTTTCCTCTCTCCTCTCCCTCCACTCCCTTCTCCTCATTCCCTTTCCCCTCTCCCTTCTCCTTCCCTCCCTCCTCTCGCTTCTCCACCTTCTCTTCCTCCATCTCCTCTCTACCCCCACTCTCCTCTCCCTTCTCCTCACCCTTCTCCTCTCCCTTCTCCTCGCCCCTCTTATCATCTACCTCCATCCCTTCCGTATCCTCAATGGTACCATCCTGCTTCCCCAATCCTCCCTCCTCTTTCCCTAATTCCCTCACCTCATCGCTCGCAGCCTCATCTAGTACACCTCTCTCGTCCTTCTCACCTACGTCTTCATTCTCACCTAAGTCTTCATTCTCACCACTCCCATCACCCCCAGCTGCCCTCTTGCTTTTGCTCTCAACAATCTTCTCATCCCTCTCTTCCCCACCCTTCCTATTCCCCACCACCACTCCCTCATCGCTCGTCCCGTCGCCACCCTTCTCCTCCACCTCCTCACCATCCGCTTGAGTCAACTCAAGTGCCTCATTCTCTCCCTTGCTACATTCCAACAACTCCCCCTTGCCATTGCCACCCTCTACCCCCCTCGTATTCTTCCCCTTCTCCTTCCCCTCCTCCTTTTCCTTCGCCTCCTTCAATTGCTCTTTCTCCTTCTCCTTCTCCTTCTCCTTCTCCTTCTCCTTCTCCTTCTCCCCCTCAGCATCCTCCCGGCCCGAGGCTCCCTCTTTCAAAGGTAGTGCCTGCTCCTCCTGTGCCCGCTTCGCCTGCCCCGCTCCATTCGTCTCCTTCTCAGCAATCGCGCCTCTGTGCCCACTTTCATCCTCCTGTTTCTCCTGCATATTTCCCCCCTCCTCCACCGTCCTACTCACTGCCTTCGCATGCTCCGCATTCCTACTCCTCTCCAGCTCTTTCTGCTCCGCGCCGATCCTCTCCTCACTGCCAGCACGCACAACACTGACGATCCCACTGACAGTCCGCAGAGCCTCCCCCGGATGAAGCACAGCAGCAGGCACTGACTTCTCCTTCTCCTTCCCCTCCTTCTCCAGCTCACCGCCTGCCCCCTCTTCCTGCTCCTCGCATGCCCTCTCCTCACTGCCAGCGCGCACAACACTGACGATCCCACTGGCAGTCAGCAGAGCCTCACTTGTAAGCACAGCAACAGAGGCTGCACCGTCCGCCCCACTCGAAACCACCTCAACGACTGCTGGAGGCAGCGGCAGCAGAGGCTGTTCGGAGGACGCTGCGTCGTCAGATACCACCGTCACAGCAGGCGTGTAGGCCGGCAGCACAGCAGCAGCCGAACCTGACCCATCAGCACCACTCAAAACCACCTCAACCACTGGCGGTGGCGGCGGCAGCAGCGTCTGCTGGGACGAATCAGCGCTGTCAGATACCACCGACACAGCAGGCGTGTAGGCCGGCAGCACTGCCAAAGGAGACGGTGCAACAGGCTGAACAGGGGCAATCGGTCCACATACGAGAGCAGGCGCTTCAACACACACGACTGCGTCCAGTGGAAGCGCATCTTGCATTGAGCTCAGGGCAGGCGGCTCAACGCAAACGACAGCATCCAGTGGCAGTGGCTTCTGAGTTGAATCGGGTGCAGGCGCTTCAATGCACACAACTGCGTCCAGTGGCAGTGGCTTCTGAGTTGAATCGGGTGCAGGCGCTTCAATGCACACAACTGCGTCCAGTGGCAGTGGCTTCTGAGTTGAATCGGGTGCAGGCGCTTCAAGACACACGGCTGCGTCCAGAGGAAGCACATCTTGAGTTGAACCTTTCAGAGCAGGCGGCGCAACACACACGACTGCACCGACTGGCAGTGCAATCTGCGTTGAATCAACAGAAGGCAGCTCAATGCACGCAACAGCATCCGCAGGCGGCGACTTTCCGGTCGACTCCAGAGCAGGCAGTGACTTTCCGGTCGACTCCAGAGCAGGCAGTGACTTTCCGGTCGACTCCAGAGCAGGCAGTGACTTTCCAGTCGACTCCAGAGCAGGCGGCGGTTGTTCAACGCACACGACTGCGTCCACTGGCAACACCACACACTGTCCCTGCTGGGGTGATTCCGCCCCTGCAGAGACCAGCTCAACCACGGAAGGAAGCTGCTCCTGCTGCTCCTCCTGCTGCTCCTCCTGGTGCTGCTGGCGCCCTGCGTTCTTCTCCTTATCTGCAGATACCACCTCCACCACTGGAGGAAGCTGCTGCTCCTTGTGCTCCTGGTGCCCTGCGTTCTTCTCCTTATCTGCAGATGCCACCTCCACCAACGGCTGTGATGATAGCTTCTCCTCCTCCTCCTCCTCCTCCCCCTGCTGCTGCACCTCCTGGTTCCTTTGTCTTCCGTGTGCCTTACCCTCCCCTTGGGTGATACCCGTTTCCGCCTTGCTGCTCTTTGCATCGCCCTGCGCATTACCTCCAAACACACCGTCGGTTTCAATGCGACTGCCCCCCACACGCTCTCTCTTCACAACTCCACCTTCCCTCATCTCCCCTTCCATCTCTTCCGCCTCTCCCTGCACCTCCTCCTTCTCTTCAGCAGAACCCGCCGCTTCCTCCTTCCCCTTCCGAACACCCACTTCAGCCTTCTCCTTCACCTCTTCCTCCGCCTCCCATTCCCCTTTCGCCGAATCTTCCGCCTTCACCTCCCCTTCCGCGGACTCTCCCGCGTCCCCCTCACCCGCCGCTACTGCAGGCGGAGACGCCGAGATGTCAGCAGGCGGAGCGATCGTACGCGGTATTAGCTCCTGGTCAGCATCTCGAAGAGGTTTGTCCGCGGTAAGAGAAGCGGTGGCGAATGCAAGGGGACCGGACGGTTGACGGGACGAACCTACACCGTCAGATGCGTCAAGGTCCTGACGTGCTGGAGAGCTGATGTCCTGAGTGCTAGTACTGACGAATGTTGTCACTGTAGCGGCCAAATTATCCGCGTTAGAAGCTGACGCTGCTCCGCTAGCAGCAGCAGTCGCAGCTGCACGGTCAAGATTCGTTGCTCCCTTTCCATCCACATCTGTCGAAGGAAGAATCGAAGCGGCAGGAACCTTCTCGGAATCTTCATCCACGTCGACCGTACCGTCATCGGTCGTACCCGCTATCCCCATCTTCGATACTGTAAACTCTGGTTTGGGGGTGTCAGAGTCCCCCCTGGCATTGTCCGCTCGCAGGGCTGGATCTGCGTCATTATCACCCTCCTTAGTATCACTCTCGTTGTTACCCCGGTCGTAGGTTACGATTCCGTCGTCGTCTCGACGGCTCTTCTCAATCAGACTTGTGAGCCTCGGTCTCTTAACTCCGCCGTTCTCCTGCGCTTCTTCCTCTCCGTCTCGCATTGTTCCGTTCTTTTGTGCTTCACGCCGGTCCGAATCGTCACAGCTCAAACTCCTCCTCCGTTTCTCTCCACGTGTATCAGTCCTTTCGCTACCGCCGCTCCCGCTTGGATCAACCGAGTCGCTCGTCCTAGTATGCGCTTCTGAGCTTGGTACTTCCACGGAGTCTTTATCAGTGTGCGGGGTTGGAGGTAAGTCAGCATCGACAGGTCCACCCATGATATATCGCCGACTAAGTTCGGAAGGACCAGCAAAATGTTTTGGCTTCTCCGGCGATTAATCTCTCCGTATATATTTCCACTTCTCAATAGTTACCCGCAATGGATCCTAAATGAGCATATTTCATCAACTTCCTGGTAGTAACTTGATCAAGACCTGGTGCGAGCTACGTGGTAAGCATAGCAGCGAACCGGCAAAGAATGTTGTTCTATGAGAGAAGCTAAGCAAGTCATCCGTTGAAATCGGAGACCAAGAAATCACAGCAAGAGTAGACTTAGTAGGCATTGCAAGCAAGATTAGATCAGAGGGTACTTGAACCAACCAACTTTCATCCAGCATCACCCTCCTACCAGGTCTCGTGAGACCAACAAGGGTTTCTTAGGTTGCTGCTAGAAAACGACAAGTTAGCACAGGATAGCATAGGTTAGCGAAGGTTAGCATACATCATACATAGCCTAATCCACAGGTTAGGCGAAAGAAGATCTCCTACCCCTCATTGTAGGAACCCAATCGTTCGTTGAGCCGCGTTAGTATTTCGTCTTAGCGGTCAAGAAGCTTTCGCACAAGACTTCGCTCTGCGGGAACAGAAGTTCCCGCGACTTGGCGAAGGCTCGCAAGAGTCGCGAGCCAATTAGAGGCGGAAATACGGCTTTATCGGCATTCACAATCCTAGTACACATAAGCCGACGCTCACTGTTCTTCCATAACGCCAGCGCGTCTATTACATCGGTCTTGTCGCGTTCTGGTGACTTCTAGGGGGAATACAGCTTGGCATGATCGTACGTTGAATAGCACAGTGGAAGAGCTACATCAACCATACAGAAATGACACAAAGTGTGCTCTCTTTGATGATGAACACAGAGTAATAAAATAGTGGAAGTAATACATATATTCAAATAATACATTTATTAAATTATTCTCGTACCATCATCATAGGTTGTTCTAGATGCTTTGCAGTAATAATAATGCTGCTTATTAAACAAGTGCTTACCTATGCAAGAGGTTAGATATAGACTACATTGCTCTTGTAGAGAAGCAACCAACAGCTGGTGTTCAGACTCGTGTTCGCTACATCATACTCCATTGGGAAGTGGCGAATGGCTCTCCCCTCGTCCACGTCGCCATCGATTTCGCAGTACTTCGTGGGTTTTTCACTTTCAGCTTTTACCATACCGAACCCTTTTACTCTGCCATAAATACTTCTGGAACGTAAAGAAAACAACTTTAACCGCAGGAAAGTGATCTCACATGATGCCCTCGGACTTCGTGACCTCAAGTTTTCTGAAAGAACTTGTATCAACTTTCTGGCTGCGAAACTTTGTCAGTGTGAGAATGGCCAGGCGAAAGCCAACCCCCTCTGCTCCCGCTCAGACCTCTCGGATCACAGACTTCATGGCTCCTTCAACAAGCAAAATAATGAGAACCAGTGATTTCAACCATCGATTAACGGAAGAAAATAGCGTCACGGTGACGCTAGATTCAGAAGCCATGGAAAATGCTCCTGAAGATCGTGAGCCTGCAAGTAACGGAGAAGAAACCCAGACGGAAGACAGAAGTGTGCCAGATCCCGTCAGTGTCTTGACGAAGTATTTCGGATATGTCAGGTTAGCCTCGTTATCTTATCGGTAAATGCGGAAGTTGCAAAGCCGTATTCAACCGTGCGCTTGCTGTCTTGATGCAGTTTTCGCGGGAATCAGGAAGAAGTTATCAGAACCGTTTTATCAGGTACTTACCCCGCTTACTAAACGTTTCCGTCGCGCAGAATGAGTGAGTGCTCTACGGAATCGTCGTGAGACTCCTGAAAGCCTGATATATCAGTGAATGCTCGCTTTCAGGGTCTGACTGCTTCTGCATAATGCCGACTGGAGGTGGCAAGTCGCTGTGCTACGAAATTCCTGCGCTGATGAAACCGGGTGTCGTCATCGTCGTCTCTCCGCTCATTGGTCAGCGAACGTCACACCATACGCTCCGTGCATACCTCTTCGCGTCGTTTAGTCCCGTTTTAAACTGAAGATTTCCAGCTGAAACCGTGTTCCCGTGCTGCTGCTGCTGGTTCGTCATCTCCCACAAACTGACGTCAAGCTTTGTGAATCATTGCTACAGTTCCTCACTCCCTCCTGAGATACTCTAGTTTCTTCGAGAAAATCAAAACGTGACTCCGATCTCTTCTTACCACTCCTGCATGTTGCAGCGTTGATGCAGAATCAAGTGGAGTCTTTAAGGAAGAAGAGCATACCAGCGGAATATCTCTCATCATCCATTTCTGCTGCACGGCGGGCAAATGTAACTGCGAACATGCACTTTCCATCATCCATTTCAGCTGCATGCATGCTAGTCTCTTTCTTCTCCTTTTCTAACCATACTGCAATTCTCGTTCGTTCAGATTCTCGCCGACCTGGGGAATGGACGGCCAGCTCTGAAGCTGCTGTATGTGACGCCAGAAGCAGTGGACACCCACACCATACTGAGCGTGTTAAGGAAGCTTCATGACAGAGGATTGCTCAGCCTCTTTGCTGTAGATGAGGTGAGGTGAATAGGTTTGCTAATAAACAATCCAGGGGCTTACAGATAGACAAAAATGGAGATTTTCTCAGATTCTTTGCAGTACATGCGCATCCTGCTTTTGAAACGTGACAGTGGATGCAGTGGACGGTACACACCATACTAGCGTGCTGAAAGAAGCTCCACGAGAAAAGGCTTTTCAGCGTTCGTCACATGTGTTTCGACCATTCTGGTGCAGGCCCATTGCATTTCATCATGGGGGCATGACTTCAGGCCTGCATATCGCAGACTCTCCTCTCTTCGACAACGGTTCTCCAACGTTCCAATCCTTGCTCTCACTGCCACAGCTGTTGCAAAGTAGGCGCCCCCAGACCATGGCCTCCTTATTGCATGACTTGACCCTCCTCAAGCAGGCCTTGGAGTTCCATTTCCTTCCCCCCCCAGTTGCTTCTACCTGCTGGTTGGAGTTACACGACACTTCCTTCCTTTTGACTTCAATCTGCTGGTTGCTTCTTTCAATGTCCCCGCCGTAGGAGCAGACCATTCTGTGCTTGGTGTGCAAGCTGCACGCAGTTCAATCTGTTTGCTGGTTGATGTGTGTCTGTGTGTATGTGCAGAGTGAGGGAGGACATTGTTTCCTCCCTCTGCCTTCGCAACCCTACAACTCTTATCTCCTCTTTCAACAGACCCAACATCTACTACGAAGGTGATTGTTGATGCCTGCCCAACGGTAACTAATACTGTCTGCCTCATTTCGCAACCCTACAACACTGATCTCCTCCTTCAACAGACCCAACATCTACTACGAAGGTGACATTCAATACCTGTCCAACGATTACAATCTCTGCCTGCTTCATCCCGTTAATTCAGTGCTTTCCCTGTGCATGCCAGTGCATAACTCTGCACAAGGAAAATCGCTTGCTTCCTCATCGCAAGTGTGTCTCTCATACCTGTGCGGCTGTGTGCATATCTCCCATCACCTCCCCCACCCAGTGCGCTACAAGGACCTGATGGACCCTTACAAGGACCTGATGGACCCGTACAAGGACCTGATGGACCCTCACAAGGACCTGCGTGACACCTCACCTACCTCCTACCATTTTGCCCCCTGCCCACCCCTTTCCCCCCACCAGTACGCTACAAGGACCTGATTGACCCTTACAAGGACCTGTGGGACACCTTACCTACCTCCTACCATTCTGCGTCCTGCCCACCCCCCTGGCCCCCACCCCACCCCTGCTCCCTCACACACCAGTGCGCTACAAGGACCTGATGGACCCTTACAAAGACTTACGTGATACACTACTGGCATCGAAGCAGCAGTGCGGCATCATCTACTGCCACTCCCGCAGCACCTGTGACGAGCTCGCTTGCTACCTCACCCGTGACGGTCTCAAATGCAAAGGTGGGTGTTTTGGGTGCAATAAGGGGAGGGGAACGCTTTGGCTGGGGATGCTCTGCCTGTGTGTGTGTGTGTGTGCGCGCACGCACGTGTGTACGGCTGCAGCATTGGCCTACCTGGAAGCAGTGCGGCATCAACTACTGCCACTCCCACAGCACCTGTGACGAGCTGGCTTGCTGGCTCACCCGCGACGGGCTTCGGTGCAAAGGTGCACGCTGGGGGGGGAAGGGGGGAGGAGTGGGGAATCAGGGGAGCAGGAGATGGGGAGTGGGGGGAACTGGAAGGGAGGGACGTTGGTTGGATGAAAGAAGGAGGAGGGGACGGAAGGGGGAGGGAGCGACAGGAGGCAAGGGAAGGGAGGGGCATGGGGTGGGGATGGGGACGGGTTGAGTGAAGATGCTTTGCCTATGTGTTTCTGCACTGATCTCCCACTCGTGTCACTTTTCATCTATGTACCATGCAGGGCTGTCAGCTTCAGCAGCATGTGTGAGAGAACTCTGAAAATATCTGAACTATCTTGGGAGCGAGGGGGGAGAGTGTTGGCTGGGAGTTCTTTGTCTTTGGCTGCGTGTGCCATGCAGGGCTGTTAGTCTCTCACATGGGTGCACTGGCCGCATCGACCCCTGCCTGCTCTTTCTGTTCGCCCTCCGGCAGTGTACCAAGGAGGGCTGTCCGCCTCAGCGCGCACGGAAGCACCGGAGGACTGGTCACAAGGGAAGGTCCCCATTCTGATCACCACTCTCTCTTTCTCTCTGCCTGCATGTGGCCGCATTGACCCCTGCCTGCGCTTGCTGTTTGCTCTCCTGCAGTGTACCATGCAGGGCTCTCCACCGCAGCTCGCACCGAAGCACTGGAGGACTGGTCACGGGGGAAGATCCCCATTATGATCGCCACTGTCGCCTTTGGGTATGTCAGTCATGCTCACATTGTGATTATATCAATCAATCTAGCAGCTGCTGTGTATATCCATTATTCTGTGACTCTTGTAGCAGTCCACTCCTGCTGCATCCTCATCTCTTTTCCTTAATCGATTCTGTCTTTCTGCTCTGCCTGCTGTTTCTGCTGTTTCGATCCCATGCAGAATGGTAAGCTGGTCCCACCATTTATTTCCTCCCGCTCTCCTCGGCCACGTCAGTTAAGATAAGTCAATAACCAGAAAGAGCCTCAAATGTTGCATAGAAGCAGAGTGAACCTAAGTGCATCTGACTGCAACTGACGGTGACTGAATGCATCCAAGTGCCCTTCTGGCGGTCGAGCAGCCGGGCTGCAGTCGAAGCAGCGATGTGCCACTACTCCCTGAACAAGTCCATCTACCCCCTTTTCGAGGCCAGGGCGAGCAAAAGGGACCAGCAACTCTGGGTTGACGCTTTTTATAATCCGTTCCCTGGTCTTGCCCCCCTACCAGCAGGGCATTGACCGTGGGATAGTGCGGCTGGTGTGCCACTACTCGCTGCCCAAGTCCGTAGAGGCGTTCTACCAGGAGAAATAGAGAGACAATCAGCCCTGGTTCAGAGCGGTTCAAAATCGCTTCATTACTCTCCCTCCCCTCTCTGCAGGGCATTGACCGTGGGATAGTGCGGCTGGTGTGCCACTACTCCCTGCCCAAGTCGATCGAGGCATTTTATCAAGAGTCAGGACGAGCAGGCAGGGACCAGCAGCCCTGCCGCAGCATTCTGTACTATGGCGTGCAGGACAAACGGACCATGGTGAGTGGGGCAGGGATCAGGGTAGATGAACAGGCTGGGATTAGCAGCTAAGCCAACAGAGACCAGGGGACCAGCAGCCCTGCCACAGCATTCTGTACTATGGCGTGCAGGACAAACGAACTATGGTGAGTGGGGCCATCAATTTGTGAGATGAAACATTTGTTGTGACTTTGGCTATTCCATTCCGCATCCTCCATTCCCCATCGGCCTATTTCTGTCTCTCCAAGAAATTATAATCAAGCAGGACTACGTTGCACGGGGTAAAGGCACACCATTGTCGCTCCCCTGCTTCCCACCGTCACTCATCCCCAAATTCTCCCTCCTGATCCCTCATCTCCCGTCTCCACCACTTCCGCCGTCTCCCTTTCTCCCACTGTCTCTCCAGGAGTTTATAATCAAGAAGGACGACGGTTCACGGGGTAAAGGCCCGCCACAACCTCAGCGAGTCAAGAACGCACTGGATGCCTTTCAAAAGGTCTGATTCGAAAGCCCTCACTTAGCAAGTACGATATCATTTTGAGAACTCTCAAATGGCTTGCCAGTGCCTCAGCGTGTCAAGAACGCACTGGATGCATTTCAAAAGGTTTGCACAAGAAGCCTTCCTTTTCTTAGGCAGTACCACTCAGCAACTGGATTTAAGCTGGATTCAAGTGCCTTTGGTGGTTGTCTGTCATGAGCCTTCATTTAGTTTGCTCTTCATTGCATGAAATCATGGTCTTGATAATCTGCCATGCGCTGTCTTTGAACTGCCCTGAACGCCCCTTTTTCATTTCTGTTGGCTGCTTGTCTTGGTGTGTGGTTGCCAATTCTCTTTGTTTAAATTCCTGCTATCCTCTCTTTTTGCCCATTCTTGTTTTGCGCATTCTTAGTTAGCCCATTCTTTTCTTGGCCGTCTTTTATCGCCCTTTCTTTTTCTGCCCTCCCTTGTTTGCACCAAATGCGTTAGATGGTGGACTATTGCGAGCTCCTGTCATGCCGCCGAATGAAGCTGCTAACGCATTTCGGAGAGACGGTAAGTGTACAAGGCCGCAAAATGTATTTCGTTCGAGTGCTTCAACGCCATATTCTAAAGAGGCAGTGAAAGCCGCATGGCATGCATTTTTTTATTTCAAGAAGGTGGAAATTATAGATGTCCCCTTCCATCTCTTCCCGCAGGCCACCCCAAGGCTGTGTGCGGGCGGTTGTGACGTGTGCAAGACACCACATGCAGTGAAGGCAGCTCTTCAGGAGCTTCGGGAGAGCGGTGCCGTGGGGGGAAGTGGCGGTGGCATGCAGCCAAGGGTGCAAATGGGCAGGTGTGTGAAAGGTTCAACTAAAAAGGGGGTGGGGTTCGTTTGGGGAAGTGGAGCGGGTGGACAGGTAAACTGTAGTTCTCGTTTATGTGCTCTCCTGTGGCTCTTGTTCACTTAATCTTCATTTCTTGTGTTCATGTGGGGCAGGGCACCGCTGTCTAGCAAGTTGAAGGATCTGGTGGAGAGCGAGTTCTGGAATAGGGGGGGAGAGAGGGGAGAGGGGGCATAGAAGGAGGAAACACACTTGCACTCACTCCAGTCTTTCTTCTTCGTGTGTTCATGTGGTGCAGGCCACCGCTGTCTTCCAAGTTGAAGGATCTGGTGGAGAGCGAGTTCTGGAAGAGGGACGATGAGGAGGAGCCTGAGGAGAGCATCTCCGGCTCTGATGGTGAGAGCACGTGATGTGGGCATGTGCCATCCTGATGCATATGTGACCATGTGTCATTCTGAAGCATATGTGACCATGTGTCATTCTGAAGCATATGTGACCATGTGTCATTCTGAAGCATATGTGACCATGTGTCATTCTGAAGCATATGTGACCACGTGTCATTCTGAAGCATATGTGACCATGTGTCATTCTGATGCATATGTGACCATGTGTCATTCTGATGCATATGTGACCATGTGTCATTCTGAAGCATATGTGACCATGTGTCATTCTGAAGCATATGTGACCATGTGTCATTCTGATGCATATGTGACCATGTGTCATTCTGATGCATATGTGACTATGTGTCATTCTGATGCATATGTGACCATGTGTCATTCTGATGCATATGTGACCATGTGTCATTCTGATGCATATGTGACCATGTGTCATTGTGATGAGGAGCCTGAGCCTGAAGAGAGCATTTTCGGCTCTGATGGTGAGGGTACGACTTGATGTGCCACTGTATGTGCGCATGTGGCATTCTAATGATGAGAGAGAGTGACCATGTGCCATTCCGGAGAAAGAATGCAATCCTGCACCTGATCACGTGTGTCTGTTTGTCCTGGTGTACACACCAGGGGAGGACGAAGCAACGGAGAAGATTGCTCGTGTGGAGAGGAGGATGGGAAAGAGGCCCTCGTTTGCCAGCAAAATGGACGCAATGAGTCGGGCTGAGGAGGCGTATAACCGCGAGCATGCAGCGCCGAGAAGCAGGCTGTCATCCCTGCGACAACAGTTTGTAAGTCACGCGATGGAGGGGGTTCGCCCGCATGACAATGCTGTGACTTTTGGGTTGACTCAGAAGTTACCTCGTCACATGATGCGATGCGTTCACCCGCTTGACAATGCTGTCGTGAAAGTTTTCATTCTCGGTAGTGCCAAGCCGCCCCCCAACCTGATACTTTCTTGCCTTCTTATCATGTTGTTCGCTGTTTCTCCTCCTTGCATGCCCACTTAATCTGCATTGTTTGTTTGTTGGTGCATTTTGGCTGATTCTTAATTCTCACCGATTGCTCGCACTCCTCTTGCCCTGCCTGATTTCTTGTTCTTTCCTTGGTTCGTGCAGAAGGTCCCAAGGCTTGCAAGTGGTGTATCGTCTCCCAATACAGGTTTCACATCTGCAAGATCCGTGATGGCAGCATCATCCCTTTCAAATCGGGCACCAAGTAAATCTCGTAACTTCAACACGACTACATTGAACGATGCAAACCAAGCCGATCCTCCAAAACAGAAGGCCAAGCTTCAAATCCCTCCTGTGCCCCTTTCCCAAGATCCGTGGCAGTAATACAATCTCAAAATTTTGAATGTGGATGACGTATGGTTCAAAAAAATATTGATTCATTGTGATTGGGATGTTCATATTGTTACCATATCACAATCAGCAATTGAAGTACTGTAGAACTGTATGGATAAAGAATGTAATGATGCTTTTGTACAGTTGTTTTGCCCTGTAAGGAAATTCCCTTTTCCTTACTTCGCATCTCTGCTCAACGCGTACATCACTGTAGCACCTCAGTCAGCACCGTTACCACTCGCGACCATCGCATCATTCATCATCCCGCCATTTTCGCACATCGCATCCCGACCTCACGGCTCGGCTGGTAACCCGCGCTCCGGGCCTACGCTTCGACACGTTCCCAACCTCAGTCCCAGGCTCGTCGCGCGACCATTACCGTTACCACTGTAGTTTCGCTATATATTCTTCGCTCATACCTTCGCTCATTGTACTCTTGCTTCGATAGTGCAATTCTCGCTCGTTCACTCAATTGCACTCGTAACACTTGGTATTCAGAACCTACGATCCCATCTCGGACCGCATCCACACCTTCACTTCCCCACTATCTCAATTTTTGGGGGGGGTAGACGTCTCTCAGCGATACAGCACCGCTGCTCGTAGTGCTCTCTCGCAAGCACGCACGGCCACGACCGAGGCTCTCGCTGAGCTTGCCCGACACCCCCGCCATGGCCGATTTCACGCTCGCCACATTGACGCAGGAGCAACTTGATCGTCTCGTGCGTCAACTGGAGGATTCGGCGCTTGAAATCGCGACCCTCACGGCGGAACGTGACTCCGCCCGTCAACAATCCACGATGAACGTACCAACGACATCCCACGCACCAACAAACGCATCTGCACGTTCGGATGAGCCGATCATCATCTCGTCCGGCACACCAACACAACACGATAGCACGGGACAACGCTCAGGCGCAGCCAGTGAGGGCGCCGCCCAGCCGATGCCTGGCATGGGAGGAAACAGGATCGCACCAAGCCCACGGGAGCCTCGAGAAGTCCGTCGGCACGTGGAATTTGCGGCGACAAGTGGCGAACAACCCAACATGGCACCAATGCCGCTCAAGCCGCAACGCCCGCCCTGCTTCGACCCAAGTCAACGCGGCGGTCCGACAGTTCAATCGTGGGTCTTCACGATGAACGTTTTCTTCGATGCCAATTACGTCGAGTCGGACGCCGCAAAGATCCGGTATGCGGTTTCACTGCTAAGAGGCCCCGCCATGGACTGGTGGCGAGTCATCGTGACGTCGCCACGCGCCTACGAGCCACCGTCGCACGAGGAAGGGCCCTCGGGTCCAGCTGTCACCCAGAGTTCGTTCTGCGAGACCGCCCAATACAGCACGTGGGATGCGTGGTGCGCAGGACTTCGGGCGCGTTTTGAGCCGATCGCGGCTTCAATTTCGGCGCGTCAGACACTGCGCACTTGGCGCCAGCTCGGGTCAGTTCAAGACTATACCAGCGGTTTTCTCGCACTTTGCGAGCAGGTCGGCTACATGCACGAAGCGGAGCGGGTGGACCGTTACGTCGGAGGGCTGAAGCCGGACATCTCGCACGAGATAATGCTGCGCTGACTCTCTAACTTCAACGAGATTCTCGCGCTCGCCGAGAAGATCGACATTCTACGCCGACCGAGACCGGGGTCCTATTACGGACATCGTCCTCGGGGACCGACCGAGCACGCCACTGTACACGCCGTCGCAACGAATGCAGGTGCCGCACCGTTTAAGGGGCGCTGCTTTGCTTGCAACAGGCCGGGCCATCGCAAGAGCGAATGCCCAGAGGAGCTGAGGCGCCGAGGAGCAGAGCAGGGGAGGGAGTCTCAGAGGCAGGGAAACGCCAGCAGACAGTAGAAGTTGGGCCAACTACTGACGAGACTGCATGCTCGCCCAACCACACCGACCCTCACCGAGTCACAGTACCGATTCATGCCATCGATCGGGCTCGGATGAATAAGGAGGGTACAGCGACGGATTGCCCGGTACTAATCTATGGGAAAATACAGGGAGCAGTAGTGAAGATTTTTATTGACGGAGGAGCAAGTCACAGCTTAGTTAATACCGCAACCGCACGGAAATTACAGTTAACACTTAACCGATGCTTACTTGAGATAGATGCACGCTTAGTCGACGGCACGCCACTTGCTATACGGGAAAAGGTGGAAAGAGTAAAGGTCCGCTGCGGAGGGAACTTCGGGTTTACACAGGAAATGCTCGCAACGACACTGGATGGGCACGACATTTTATTAGGACGTGATTGGCTGCGACGGTATAACCCACGAATTGACTGGACGACGGGTAGCTGCACAGTGCGAAGTAGTGGTAACTGGGTCGTCCTACCTCGCTGGCAGCCACCCGATGTCAGAATATTATCTTATTGTTCTAGCCTGTAGTGGGGTGCTCTATAGCGAGTACAACCCTTCTAGGGTTTGCTATTTGTATCCCCATTTCTGCTAGTTCAATCCTCTTTATTTCTCCTAACTTTGTCACCCGAGTCTTCGACGGTCCAGGTCAACGCCATCACGATGAAACGGGCTGTCGCTGCTGGAGCTGACGTGTACGCAGTGGATATCGCATTAGTGGAAAAAGAGGACCGGCCGAGTGATTTGCAGAAACTGTTGGCAGCCGTACCACCCGAACTACAGGCACTACTGAAACGGTTCCCGGGTATCTTTCCGGATGACTTACCGCAAGGGCTGCCACCTTAGCGGGCGCATGACCATAGGATCGAGTTAGAACCGGGGGCACAGCCAACTGTACAGCGCCAATTTCGACTGACACAGCCCGAGCTCGACGAGCTAAGGAAGCAGTTAGATTACCTGTTAGAGAAGCAGTTTATCCGACCGAGCTCGTCACCGTTCGCCGCACCGATACTGTTCACACCGAAAAAAGACGGGGGGTTTCGCATGTGCATCGACTACCGAGCACCTAACAGGGTAACAGTAAAATCACGATACCCCATCCCCCGCGCCGACGAACTGATCGACCAGCTGCGAACCGCACGAGTATTTTCGAAAATAGACTTACGGGGAGGTTACCATCAAATTCGGGTCGAACCATCGGACTGCGCCAAGACAGCGTTTAGGACTAGGTACGGGTCATTCGAGTACACGGTGATGCCTTTCGGGCTGACCAACGCGCCTGCAACATTTCAGATGACCATGAACGAGGCGTTTAGGCCACTTTTAGATAAATGCGTCATAGTTTACCTCGACGACATCCTCGTTTACAATCGGGACCAGCAGCAGCACTTAGTAGATCTCGAAGCAGTTTTTAAAATTTTAGAGGCACATCGGTTACTCACCAAGGGCTCCAAGTGCGAGTTTTTTCGGGACAGGCTAGAGTTTTTAGGTCACGTCATTTCGGAGGCTGGGGTTGAGATCGACCCTAAGAAGCTGGATACCGTAAAAGCGTGGCATCCCCCGACGAACATCACGGAACTACAGAGTTTTTTAGGGTTTGTTAATTACGTTCGTCGGTTCGTCCCCGACATGGCACGCTTAACAGCCCCGCTCACTGATTTACTGCGTAAGGGGGTCCCTTTTACGTGGGGGGAGAAAGAGCATGCTGCCTTCTCTGCCCTGAAAAATGTTCTCTGTTCACCACCCGTCCTACGCATCGCTGACCCACACCGCCCCTTCGAAGTTGTTACAGACGCGAGTGACATCGCCATCGGAGCCGTACTGTTACAGGACTTCGGCAACGGCCTCCAACCCATCGCCTACGAATCACGCAAGCTACATCCACCTGAGCGAAATTACCCGATACACGACCGTGAAATGCTCGCGATCGTGCATGCATTCAAAGTGTGGCGTTGCTACTTGACCGGCGCAGACGTGACAGTACGGACAGACCATCGATCCCTACAGTACCTTCGCGCACAGCCCCACCTCAACCCACGACAGATTCGGTGGCTCGACTTCCTCGAATCGAATTTCCACTATACGGTCACATATAAAAAAGGAGCCTCGAATATCGCCGACGCACTGACCCGCCCCACTGCCCAAATACATGCGATACTACTCGCCCAGACCAGCCCGTTACTGACAGGACTATTTACCCACGGATATCAAACAGACCCATTCTTCACAGGAGGAAATTCACAGCAATTCTCAGCAGCCAAGGGAGCCTATTACGTAAAAGCTGGATCCGACCGCATCTGGGTACCAGGGTACACGCTACTACGGGAACTACTGTTACAGGAGGCACACGACGGAGTTACCTCGGGACATTTCGGAGTAGAAAAAACACGGCAGCAGCTGCAACGGTACTATTACTGGCCGGAAATGTTGACCGACGTGCAACGATACGTGGCATCGTGTCCCACTTGCCAACTCATGAAGTCAACCAGGAAGCGGCCGGTAGGACAATTACAACCAATCCCACCTCCAGAGCGTGCTTGGCAGCAGGTGACGATGGACTTCGTCACGGGGTTACCGGCCGGGGCGAGTGGGAATGACGCGATCCTGGTCGTCGTCGATCGACTAACGAAAATGGCACATTTCGCAGCATGCAGGAAATCAATCACAGCCGAGGAAACAGCCCGACTATTCATCGCCACCGTCGTTCGACTGCACGGGATACCAGCGTCAATCATCAGCGACAGGGACACGAAGTTTACCAGTAGTTTCTGGCGGAACCTGTGGCAGCAGTTCGGCACGAGACTTCAATTCAGTTCATCGTATCACCCCGAAACCGACGGACAGACAGAACGGACAAACCAGACTATGGAGCAACTCATTCGAGCCACGTGTGACGATCCAAACACGTGGGAGCAGCAGCTGCCTCTCATCGAGTTCGCATACAACAACGCGCCATCTGCCACGTGTCAGAATGTTATTCTTATGTTCTAGCCTGTAGTGGGGTGCTCTATAGCGAGTACAACCCTTCTAGGGTTTGCTATTTGTATCCCCATTTCTGCTAGTTCAACCCTCTTTCTTTCTTCTAACTTTTGACATGCTATCAGAGCAGGTCGATCCCCTTGGATCGATCCTCTGGGTGGGCTCACCACCTCGTTGCTTCCGCTGCAACTGCTACTACTACTCTCTGTGCCGCACGCCCCGTGGCGTGCGGCATTTTTTTTCTTCCCGCCCTGCGCCCCGAGGTGCACGGCGGTTTTCTGCCCGCCGTGCGCCCCGAGGCGCGCGGCGGTTTTCTGCCCACCGCGCGCTCGGGGCGTGCGGCGGTTTTCTGCCCACCGTGCGCCTCGAGGCGCGCGACGGTTACCTGCTTTGCGCGGCAGTATTCTGCACGCCATGCGCTCGGGACGCGTGGCGGTTTTCTGCCCACCGCGCACCTTGGGCGCACGCGGCGGTTTCGCGTTCCGTCGACCCGCACGCCCGTCCCCGTCGACCTGCGTGCGGCTCCTCGTCGCCCTTCGCGGCGGCCCCGTCAACCCGCGCGCGGCTTCCGGTCGCCCTTCGTGGCGGCCCCGTCGACCCGCGCGCCGCCCCTGGGGACCCGTGCACCCGTCCCCGTCGACCCGCGCGTCACCCTGCGGCCCCCCTCCCCGCACACCTGAGTTCGATTACCGCACATCCGAGTTCGCTTCCCGTAAGCTTGTGCACGCTTCACGCACACCTGAGCTCGCTTACCGCACACTCAGGGTATGGGGGTGACGGGTATGGGGGTGATGGTTGTGGGGGTGTCGTTTGTGCGTGCCGTCCCCTTCTCCTCCTCCTTCGTCTCCCACTGCTGCAGCTGTCGCTGAGGGGGGTGGTTGTGTGGGAGACTCGGGTTTAGGGTTTAAGGGGGGTGCGTGGGAGTGGAGCTAGGAGCGTATCAGCGGGTGTGTGTTGGGGGAGTTGGATAGTTAGGGAAGCTGCATGGAGGTTGCCGTCGTGTCGTCAGCAGCACCTGTATTCCGGGGGCTTCGCCCGGTAGCCCAGTCGTAGCCAGCTGTGCCAGCCGCCCGTGGGTCCGTTGCTCGTCTGCCGCTACTTTAGCCGCGGGGCCAGTTACTCCAGTATTCCGGGGGCTTCGCCCGGTAGCCGCTGTGCCAGTGTGCCTCCTGTTGCCCGAGTGTCTGCAGCTTCAGCCGTCGCCTCCCAACTCCTCTCGCTCTCACTCCTCTTCCTCACTTGCCCGTTGTGACCACCACTAGCTTTGCTCATAATTGTGCACTTGAACTTACTTCTTGAACTTGTGCTCAGAATGTGTGGTGACATTGTGATCCACCCTGAGCTTGTACTGCTTTGCTTGCTCTGCTGATTACACCCCACTTTGGCTATGGGGGTGTGTCAGAATGTTATTCTTATGTTCTAGCCTGTAGTGGGGTGCTCTATAGCGAGTACAACCCTTCTAGGGTTTGCTATTTGTATCCCCATTTCTGCTAGTTCAACCCTCTTTCTTCTTCTAACTTTTGACACCACGACCCAACAGTCGCCATTCTACTTGAATTACGGACAGAACCCAACAGTACCCATGACACCAAACCCCGACAATCCCGTTCCACGCGCACAACAGTTCACCGAGATTTTGCAAGCAGCACGGACCAGGGCAGCAGAAGCAATTAAAAAATCAAATATCATCGCTAAACGCAACGCCGATCGCCACCGTAGACCCGTCACTTATCAGCCCGACGACCTCGTTTTACTCGACACTCAGAACCTCCGCCTGCCCATCACTCCCAAACTCCGCCCTCGATACTGTGGGCCATTTCGAATCAGTCACATGATCACACCTGTCACCGCGCACCTCCTCCTTCCTGCTGACTGGTACGTCAGCCCCTCGTTCCACGTCAGCCTGCTTCGCCCTTACGTACCATCCACCAGCCAACTCCCACTACATCGACCATCCAGCATGTCACGACCACCAACCGAACCAGTCATCACCCCCGACAAAATCTTGAGCCACAGAGTTCGCGACCCTCGAGGGGCCCGAAAAGTTGAGTTTCTGATTCGCTGGAAAGATCGTACACCCACCGAGGACAACTGGGTTCCCCTAGACAGAATTGAAAACCACCCTGTCGTCACCGACTATCTACGCAGCCGAAACTTCAAAGACGTCCACGCGCTTTCGTAAGGAGGACCTTTTAGGAGGGGGGGGTAGTGTAAGGAAATTCCCTTTTCCTTACTTCGCATCTCTGCTCTACGCGTACATCACTGTAGCACCTCAGTCAGCACCGTTACCACTCGCGACCATCGCATCATTCATCATCCCGCCATTTCCGCACATCGCATCCCGACCTCACGGCTCGGCTGGTAACCCGCGCTCCGGGCCTACGCTTCGACACGTTCCCAACCTCAGTCCCAGGCTCGTCGCACGACCATTACCGTTACCACTGTAGTTTCGCTACATATTCTTAGCTCATACCTTCGCTCATTGTACTCTTGCTTCGATAGTGCAATTCTCGCTCGTTCACTCAATTGCACTCGTAACATGCCCTCACCTTGTTTTCTACGCGGCGTCGTTCGGGTTGGGCTGGCACAACCGCAGAAGGCCATCGCATCCATTTCTTCCCATATCATATATTTATTCCCAGCAGACCCTCACAGGCCATTGACGCAACCAGCTCTCCGTATTCAGTGACGCCGCCATGGAGAAAGGCCTCCCTTGCAGCCCTTGCCAGTGTGGAATTGTGATAACCATCGCTGCGACTGTTTTTTCGTTCTTTGTAATACAGCTGGCCAACCTAGATTTGAAGGGCCATTCATTGTGTCTGCTTCCAGATGGCCTCAAGTCGAAGCATAGCTGTTATGCTCTCATCCCTCCCGAAGGAGACCGCAATGAGAGTGGATTGCAAGAGAGAATGACGGTTAATGCCACAGTGCCAAGGAGACCGAAAAGGTCCCCTGTGCAGTGGACGGAAACGGCTCATGTGATGATCTACGATGCCATAACAGCACTTCAGCATCCGCGGTCATGCGATGACGCGAAGCTCATGGTCGTTGAGGCCGACGTTAGCGGTAACTGAAGAACCTGTTGCACACTTTACTGTGATGCCAATTCTGGCAGGATGCTTTAACAAATAACCCTTACAGGTCTCATGTGGAACTTCCGGTCATTCGTCCGCGCATTATCGCTTGGTATGAAGCTTAATCGCACAGTGATTCCAGCTCCTCGAAGACTCGGCGGAAAGCGCTGGGAGTATGCCACTTTTGATGGCTGTGAAGAGAAGCACCTTGGTTGCTACTTCCCGAATATTACTACTTGCAAGATCCCTGACGACCTCAACACTACCATTTCCTGGAAAGCTTGGAATTTCACCTGCAATGGACAGTGTGACATGGACCGTTTGGCCGAGATTTCAAACGAGCGGGTCATATACTTGGAACCGATGAATGGAGTTTATCCTGGATGGGGTGGAGACATCTGGCCATCGCATTTTTGGATGCAAATGAGGAATGATCCGTTTCGTTTTCTTCAGCGGTGTGGAAATGCAGAGCTGGCAGGATTTTTTCCTGGTTCGGGACCACCATTCATGCTCCATGCCATAATCAGCCAGTGGCTCTTTCAACCCCACGATCACATTCTTGACATTGAAAAGGAGATCTTGAAGCAGTATCGAGGCTGGTCCAGGCCCACCGTGTCTCTCCACATCAGACGAACAGACAAGGAACAAGAAGGTAAGGGCTTTGCCAAGGTTACGCCACCAAACTGGTTCTTTGCTCCTGACTTGTATTTCACTCTGCAGATCCTTTTTGGAGGCTTCATGGTCACCAATACCGAGGATTGAGCAACTACACAAATGCAATTGAGACATCAGCAGCAAATCTAAGCATGCATTGGAACAGCCTCTTCATCATGAGCGACAGCCAGACTGTCATCAAGAATATGGAGAGCTATGTGGCTACTATTTCAGATGCCCCATTGATCATGTTTGACAACTCGACTGACAGAACAGTTCTGGAAAGAGTTGGTGGGCATGTGTATGTCCCTGCAGACAAGAAGAAAGGCATTCAAGATCATTTCCTTGCAAGCTTATCCCTGGCATACAAGATCAGCGACCATGCTATTGGCACGCTTTCCTCAAACGTGTTTCAAGTCTTGGTGCAGCTTATGGGAGCTGAGAGAAAGATGGTACAGACTGAGAGGGTAGGCAGATTGGCGACTTCATTGGATACTCCTGAAGGTTGGGCAGGGTAGCTCATCTGACTTTCTAATAAACCAGCTTTTCAACAAATGCAACAAATTCCCCCAACATGCAATGTTACTTCTCCACATAATTTCTGCAACTAATGAATTGGTTGATGTTGATGTTTATTAGGAAAATTGCTTCTACTCTTATATCTAGTTAATTTAGTTCATGGCTTCGTTTTTACTCCTTACCCAAACGTTCTCAAATATAAAGATATAGGGTTAAAGTGAACCTGCATGACACCACAAGATTGTACTATAGCGAGGCATGCAACCTAGTTTTTGACAAGCTCGAGGAGTGGAAGGTTCAATCACCAGTGTTTTCACCAACGTCATGTAAAGGACTCCACGCTCTGCGCTTAGTCGAAGGGAGTTCCGGCTTATCAACAAGCGTATTCCGTTGCGATTTACTGTTTGGAACGGCCTGAAGACAAGCTAAAAAAAAACGACTTCCAGCAACGTGTAGCTTCATCTCGCAAAGGTCATAGTGATCGAGGCCATTGATCAGGTCCCTTCAATTGATCCCATATATTAAGAATATTGATCGAGGCCACTGATCGAAGCCTCATCGAGGCAATGGATATCGACGAAGACATGATGATGGAAGGCGCGTTACAGGCGTACGAGGCGGATGACGACGACGCGCTGCAGTTGACTCCAGGCCATCAGGACGGCGCACACGAGCAGCACGACCATAGAAACGAGGAGCAGCAGCAGTTGCCGCATCAGGAGGAGGGGTTCAGGGAAGAAGAGATGCACGACGCGAACGGCGCTGCGGCTGCTCTTGCGGGAAATGGATCTGAGAGGGACGCCGGGACGGGTGGTGGGTCGAATCGTGTGGGGGATGGCGCTGAAGCGGCGGGCGACGAGGGAGCGGCGAAGCAGCAGGAGGAGCAGGAGAAACGGGAGGAGAAGGTTCCGGCAGGAATCGGAGCGAAGCGAAAGGTGTATCGTGTTCCGTGCCATGCGAGTGAGTCCACTGCGACCTTGGATGCCCATGTGTTCGTTATGATATGAAAGTCCGATCTTTTTTGGGGGGGTGGGGGAAAGGGGGTGTGGGTGGGGGGGGAGGGGTGGGGGGGGGTGGTAATGGGCTAGGGTGGGTTTGATTTTTAAGCTTGCATGCTTCAGATCATGCACCCTCGCTGATTCTTGTTTCTGTGCCTCTCAGCCAAGCCTGCTTCTGAAACTTTTCTCCTCCACCTACACTTCCTTCATGCCCTAATTCATCTCAAATGCATTCTTGTTTTTTTTTTTCCCTCTTCTCTCTCAACCCTTCTCAATTGCACAGGCTGGTTTCGATGGGACAAGATCCACCCTTTGGAAAAGCGTGGGGTTCCAGAGTTTTTCCTCCCAACACCCCCCCCACAGCCACCAACAGCCACCATGTTTCCTCCTCCACCCCCTCCCGCCAAAACCCCCACTCTCTACAAAGAATACCGAGACGCCATTATCACCATGTACTGCCAGATGCCGCCATCCGATTGGCCGCTCACCTTCACACGTGTCCGCCGGGCGTTGGTTGGTGACGTGAGCTCGATCCGTCGGGTGTTTGACTTTCTTGACCAATGGGGGCTGATCAACGCTGATGTGCCAGGAGGGGGCGGAGCAGGAGGAGCAGCAGCAGCCAATGCCTCGGCCGCTGCTGCCGCAGCGGCAGCCATTGCTGCTGCAACAGCTGCTGCTTCATCTACCGGTCTAACCACTCGCAGGCGTGCTGCTGCTGCTGCTGCAGCAGCAGTAGCAGCAGTTCAAGATTCCACTACTGACGATGCTACAGCCGATGCTGCCGCCTCTGCGGCTCTTAACCCCTGGCCTGAAGTCGCCCCCTTGGAGTCAGACTTAGCAGCAAAGGGCGGCGTGTCTCGTCTCGCCGTTCCTGCAGTCAAACAAGAAGGCCTCATGGCTTCGGATTTGGTCTGCACCTTTGCTCGGGGAGCCGTGCCTGGCGGTAGGCCTGAAGCTGCAGGTTTGGCGGCAGGTTCGGGTGCCGGAGCGAGGAAGCCTGGAACGGTGCGAACTGCTGAGCTGGCGCTGCTGGGAATGGTGGGGGATGCGCACTGTAGCACGTGTGGTACCCAGTGCACGAAGCTACGTTATCACTCAGCTAAGCACCCACCCATGGATCTATGCCCTAAGTGTTTCTCTCAAGGTAAAGTCCCTTCGTCCCGGTCCTTAGCCGAATTTTTGCGGGTCGAGGCACCTGTTATACCATCTGATGCAGCAAGAGTGAGTGTGACTATAGAGAGCACCCCCGCTATAGCTGCAGGAGCGCCTGCTGCTGCGGCTACAGCTGCCGCCGCTGCAGCAGCAGCGGCCAGCACAGGACCAGGGGGAGCTTCGGGAGCTCCAGGTGTGGGGGAAGGTTCGGCAACAGATTCGGTGGCAGCAGCAGTTGCAGCGGTGGCAGCGGGAAGTGGGTGGAGTGAGGAAGAGGTGTTGTTGTTGCTAGAGGGAATTGAGATGTTTGGGGATAGCTGGGAGAAGGTGGCAAGGCATGTGAAGACGAAAGACCGAGCGCAGTGTCTGGCTTATTTTGTCCGCATGCCCATGGGTGACTCGTTTGAATCGATCAGTGCGCCACCTGCTACAGTCACACGTGCTTCAGTCACGCCTGTCTCTGAAGCTCCTGTATCTGCCACAGCTGCTGTTGCTGCTGCCACTGAGAGGAGTGAGGGAGATGAGAAGGGAGGGGAGGGGAGGGACGGAGGTGGGGTGGGTGAAAAGAAGGGTGACGTGGAAATGCAAGCTGCTGACGTGGGAGAAGATGCAGCAGCGGAAAAGGCAGAGGAGATTGGAACAGAGACTATAGAGAATGATTTGTCAAGACGAGGCATGAAGAGAAAGGGATCGAATCTGGAGCAGCAGCCTTCGAAACCAACAGTGATGGGTCTGGACGAGCCCATTCCGTTTGGCGACAGTGGTAACCCTATCATGGCGCAGGTGGCGTTTATCTCTGGTGTGGCTGGGCCTCGTGTGGCTGCTGCTGCTGCTCAGGCTGCTCTGGCCGCGCTTGTGTTTGAAGACCCGTCTGCCCTTGCTGAGTTGCACCAGGCTGCTGCTGAGGCAGAGGCGAGGGCAGTGGCCGCAGAGGAAGACGCAAAGGCAGCAGCAGCAGCAGAGCATGAGGTGAGGGCAGGGGCAGGGGCAGGGGCAGGGGCACCAGCGGCAGCAGGAGAAGGAGGAGGAGGGGGACTGGCAGCGAAGGGAGAGAAAGAGGGGAGTGCAGTGATAGAGAAAGATGTTGGAGGAGTAGATGCAGAGGTTGTTGCAGAGGGAGCAGCAGGAGACGATGCAAGGGAAACAAGAGCAGGGGAGAAGGAGGGGGGAGCAAAAACAAATAAAGAAGGACTGGCAGCAGGAGACAGTGTAGCTGCTGCTCCTGGTGCTGCTGGTGGTGAATCCGCTGCTACTGCCGCTTCCGAAGGTGGTGATGGGGATACAATTGCTGCTGCGCGTGAAGGGGATGGCGGCGCGAAAGGGGATGGCGTGAAAGGGGATTCTGCTGAAAAGGATGATGTTAAAGGGGATGCTGTTAAAGGGGATGTTGTTAAAGGGGATGCCGTTAAAGGGGAGGAGGGTGTGAAAGGGGATGCCGAAGCTACTGATGTTAAGGGACAGGTACAGATGGAGAGAGGAGGAGAGGAGAACGAGGGACAGAAAGAGGAGGGGGGTGGGAAAGTGAGGAAGATAGAGAGTGATGGTGGCATAGCTGGCATGGATGTTGATGGAGGTAAGGAGGCGAGCAAAGGGGATGAGGAAGGGAAGGGAGGAGGTGACGTTGGAAAGGAGGGGGAGGAGAGTAGGGAAGGTGGGGGTGCGAAGGGCGAGCAGGGAGAGAAGGGAGAGGGGAATGAGATTGACATGGCTGCAACAGGTACAGATGCAGCAGCAGGAGAAATGGCCACACCAGAGAAAGCAGAAGGAGCAGCTGGAGCAGGAGCAGGAGGAGGAGGAGGAAGAGGGGGAGGAGCAGAAGGGGAGGCAGGAGGAGGCAAGGGCCCTCAACGCCGCGTTCCCTCTCTGAGCGACGTGCCGTCAGCTCTGCGCATCCGAGCTGCTGCTGCCACGGCCATCGCTGCTGCAGCGGTGAAGGCGCGGCTGATGGTGGAGGAGGAGGAGCGGGAGATGCGGCGCGTGATGGCAGAGTTGGTGGCCAAACAGGTGAGAGAGCTCTTTTGCCAGTTTTTCCTGGTCCATGGCTGCTGCAGCGGTGAAGGCGCGGCTGATGGTGGAAGAGGAGGAGAGGGAGATGCAGCGAGTGATGGCTGAATTGGTAGCAAAACAGGTGATTTGGTTGTTTGAGCGGCTTTTCTAGTTCAAAGTCTAGGTAGGTTCATGGTTTGAATCGGAGCATGGAAGTGGAGCAGGTGAGGAGAAGAGGTAGGATGCGATTTTTGAGTCGACTAAAAAATCTACTTATCACACATTGGAACATGGAAGTGGAGCAGGTGAGGAGAAGAGGTAGGTAGGATGTGACAAGTCCTGGCTGGACTGGTGGCGTTCGGGAGTCCTTTTATTGAAATGCTTGGTTTTCCCCACGCCATGCCTTCCCTCCCCTCCGACCCCCCAGTGTTTGAAGCTGGAGAAGAAGATGCTTCAATTTGAGAGGCTGGAGCAGCGATAGCACGGGAGAGAGCGAGCATCGACAGGCAGAGGGTAGCAATCTGTTCATTATCATTGCTTCCCTCTTTTCCCCAATCCCCTGTCTCCGCCCCACCTTTTCTCCCCCACTCAGTGTCTGAAGCTAGAGAAGAAGATGCTTCAATTCGAGAGGTTGGAGCAGCTGATGGCACGGGAGGGAGCGAGCATCGACAGGCAGAGGGCAGCAGCTCCTTTCCTCTTCTTTCTTTCCTCACTTCGTCAATACTGCGTCTGCCCTTCCTCCTCCCACCACCATCACAGTGTTTGAAGCTGGAAAAGAAAATTCTTCAATTCGAGAGGTTGGAGCAGCTGATGGCACGGGAGAGAGCAAGCATCGACAGGCAGAGGGCAGCGCTGTTCGAAGAGAGAATGAGCCTTGTCAGGGAAAGAGCCGCTATTCGTGCTGCTGCTGGTATTGGTGCTGCTGGTGGTATCATCGGAGGTATTTCCACTGATGGTGCTGGTTAAATGCATCACCAGGCGGAGGGCTGTGTTGTTGACTTTTGAGTCGACTCAAAACTCAATTCGACTCAAAAGTCACCTCGTTACATGGTGCTACATGGCACCTACATGGTGCTACATGGCACCTACATGGTGCTACATGGCACCTACATGGTGCTACATGGCACCTACATGGTGCTCTATTGGACACCAGGCAGAGGGCTGTGTTGTTTTAGGAGAGTGCGAGACAAACTACGAGAGTGGCAGTCTGGCTTGTGTGGGAGAGAGATGTTTTACGTGCTGCTGCGGCTGGTATCGCTGCTGGTGCGGGTGCTGGTGCGGGTGCTAATGCGGGTACTGGTGCGGGTGCTGGGGTGGGTGTTGGCACTGCTGGTGCTGGTGGACTATTGGTGGTGATGCCACTGATAGTGCAGGTTAGATTTACCTGTAGTAGAGGAATTTATGGCTGGCATAGGGTAGTGCCACTGCGCTGTTTTGATGTGAAAGTAAGGCCTGTCAGGGAAAGACCTGCTCTGCTCTTCATACTGCTGCTGCAACTTGAAGATCTGTATCCACATTGGAATCCTAAAGATGTTTTGTGTCCACAGCAACTTGAATGTGCAATACCGTATTACCCCGGATAAAAGCGCAGGTGCGCTTATAATAAAACAGTGTTTTTTGGGGGGGTGCGCTTCTAATTGAGGTGTCTGTATACGCGCACGCGCCTATTATAAGGAAAAAATGAAATTCACTTTTAAACATACTAAACTGAAGCCAGCAATAAGGCGAATCCAACGGACCATGCAACAAGTGGGATCGTGCATGGTTTTCAGGCAAAAACAGCTTCGGTTCGGTTTCCCACCGCACAAAGTTGTCTAGAACCATCGAACGTGACAGGAGTGACGGGGATGTTGCCGTGCGGCCCAATCACAGCCGCATGCGCTGCGTGGCATCTGCATTTCTTCCGAACCCTCTCGAAGGGTGGGGAAGATTCCCTGCCAGCGCAGCGAATATGCTGCCACGCAGGTTCCTCTACGGGGGTAGGCGGGGGTTTCCTGCCTGTCATTGACGAGGACCCCGAGCCGCTAGCCCGCAGGGGTCCCCGTCGTTGCCCATTTCTGCACCCTCCTCATTTTTTTCATTCAGTTTCTAGTCTAGCCCGCCTGGCTGGCAAAGCCATGGCGGAATTCAGTGGGACGCACCTCCTTTTCAAGAAGAAACCAACCCGCGCCTGGCGACTAACCTCGGACGGGTGGTATACACGTGAGCCACCAGCGCCTCCAGTGCCACCTACACCCCCTGCACCGCCTGCTCCGCCTGCTCCTCCTGCACCTCCTGCTCCTCCTGCTCCTCCCGCTCCTCCGAAACCTCCGACTCCTCCTGTTCCTGACGTGTGGGGTCACCATCGGCCCGTGCTCCAGATATATTTGCCTGCCACTTTCGACGAGTGGTTGTATGAACCCGACACACCCAAGGCTAGGCGAATCAATGGTCCGCCGACTGCACCTCGGTGGGGAAATCCTGAAGCCTGCACGTGGGACGAGTCGGCTGTGGGCGCCGACGATGACGTGGCCGCCGATAAACAACCCACATGCGACGGCGATGCTGGAGGCGACGGTGGAGTCGACGGTGAAGAGGGCGCCGAGGAGGACGTGTTCCCAGATCGTGAAGCTACAGACGCGGACGACGACGGTGTGGAGTCTTGGTGGCGCGACGCACCACACGAGAAGATGCCGATACCAACGTATCCGTCGATTAACAAAAAACGACCCCACCCCTTCTCTGAGAACCGAGATGCCCGCCCCCCCTCTCCCACGCACAAGCCGACTCAACACAAACGGCAGCGCTACACCGCCCAGGAGAAACTGAAGTGGCTTGTTCGGCTGGAGCTTGCTGCATCGGTAAGCGAGGTCGCGCGGGAGTCCGACATACACCGCAAATGCCTCACAGAGTGGAAAAACCAAGCGGAGGAGCTCAAGGCTGCACTCAGTGCTCGGTGTCGACTTCATAGGCGCGGAAGGTCTTCCTGGTACAGACCCATGGAGATGAAGGTGTACGCCCAACTCCTAGACTGGCGACGCCACAGTGTGGCAGTATCAGTCGGCCGGCTGCAAGAGTGGTCAAAAGAGGTGATGAAGGTGTTGTTCCCGGACGTCAAGTGGAAGGCGAGTCAGCGCTGAACGGAGCGGTTCCGCAAGCGGTGGAATTGTCAAATTATAATATTGTGTAGGCTATAGTGGGGTAGCCTATATGGGGTACACATTTCTAGGGTTGCATATCTGTATCACTTCCATTCCTTAGTCATTCATTCTTGTTCTACTTTCCTCATGGTATCGAGCAGGTTCCCCCGAGGGAACTGTGCCTAGGGCCCACCACATCGATCTTTTTTTTTTTTCCTGCCCGAAGCGCGCTCAGCCCGAGTCGCGCTCCGGGCTCTCACCTCTTCGAGCCGCCCTTCTCAGCGGCCCCGCCGCCCTTCTCAGCGGCCCCGCCGCCCTTCGCTACGGCCCCGCCGCCCCACATTGCGGCCCCGCCGCCCTTCTTCGCGGCCCTGCCGCCCTTCGCTGCGGCCGCACCGCCCCTCGCTGCGGCCCCGCCGCCGTTCGCTGCGGCCCCGCCGCCCGTCTCAGCGGCCCCGCCGCCCTTCTTTGCGGCCTCGCCGCCCTTTGCTGCGGCCCCGCTGCCTCACGTTGCGGCCCCGCCGCCCTTCGCTGCGGCCCCGCCGCCCGTCTCAGCGGCCCCGCCGCCCGTCTCAGCGGCCCCGCCGCCCGTCTCAGCGGCCCCGCCGCCCGTCTCAGCGGCCCCGCCGCCCTTCACTGCGGCCCCGCCGCCTCTCTCGCTGCGGCCCCACCGCCCTACTCAGCGGCCCCACCGCCCTTCACTGCGGCCCCGCCGCCTCTCTCGCTGCGGCCCCGCCGCCCTACTCAACGGCCCCGCCGCCCTTCACTGCGGCCCCGCCGCCTCTCTCGCTGCGGCCCCGCCGCCCTACTCAGCGGCCCCGCCGCCCTTCTACTACGGCCCCGCCGCCCTTCTCAGCGGCCCTGCCGCCCTACTCAGCGGCCCCGTCGCCCTTCTACTGCGGCCCCGCCGCCCTTCTCAGGGGCCCCGCCGCCCTTCTCAGCAGCCCCGCCGCCCCTTTCACCAGCGGCCCTGCCGCCCTACACCGCCCGCGTCGCCCAAACCGCCCGACCTGCCCAAGCCGCCCGAGCCGCCCGAGCCGCCCGACTCTCCTGAGCCGCCCGAGCCGCCCGACCAGCCCGAGCCACCCGAGCCGCCCAAGCCGCCCGAGCCACCCGAGCCGCCTGAGCCGCCCGAGCCGCCTGAGGAGCCGAGCCGCTTGTGCCACGGAGCCGCAGTTGCTGCTGTGCCGTCCGAGCAGCTCTACTGCCGTGGTGCTGTACTGCTAACCTGCCCGACCCGCGCTGTCTGGTGAGCGCAGTGCTTCTGTCACTGCACTGCCCTTGTCCTACAGTTGGTACTGCTAGTCTACTGCTGTCATGGCTACCCCCAGCTTTCTCACTTTTGACGCTGAGGGTCGAGCCATTGACTTTGAGGTTTGGGTAGATGACCTCCAGCTTTTCCTATAGTGCGATAGGGCAGACGGTCTCTCCCTCTTTGACCTCACCTCTGGCTCCTCTCCTGCCCCTACTGCTGATGCTGACCCCACTGTTCGCTCCCAGTGGGCCACGCGCGATGCTGCTGCACGTCTTGCTGTGCGTCGCCACCTGCCTACCACTAAGCGCGCGCACTTTAGTCAGTACAAACGTGCTCAGACCTTGTACGACGCTGTAGTTGCGCGCTACTCTTCCCCTGCCACTGCTGCACTGAGCCGCCTTATGCTACCGTACCTCTTTCGTGACCTTGCTGCCTTTCCCACAATCGCTGACCTCATTACGCACCTCCGCACTAGTGACACTCGCTACCGCGCCGCGCTTCCTGCTGAGTTCTGCGCCAAGAACCCCCCCCCCCATGTACATCACTCTCTATTATATAGTCACCCGCCTCCCTGACTCCCTTCGCGTAGTCAGGGACCACTTCCTCTCCGTCTGTCCCACCACTCTCACTGTTGACCTCCTAGAGAAGGCCCTCCTAGCAGCGGAGAAGAGCATAGTCGCTGTAGGAGCCTCTTGTGGTGACCCTCGCACCCCCATCTTTGAGGGGTGTTCCCCTTCCCCCCTCTTGCCCTCTGTCGCCTCTGCTGCTGCGACCGACCTACTTGGTCTTGAGTCGATCGGTGCAGCGTCTGCCCCTAGCGGGAGACGCCGCTCTGGCAAGGGCAAAGGGGGCAAGGGCGCGGGTGGAGCTGGCAGGGGTGGTGGAGGTGGCGGCGGAGGGAGTGGGGGTGGCGGTGGGAGTAGTGGCGGGGGTGGTGGTGGTGGTGGCGGCAGCGGAGGCGGAGGCGGCGGCGGCGGTAGCGGTGGGAGCGGGGGCGGCGGTGGTGGCGGTGGAGGCGGCGGAGGGAGTGGGGGTGGCGGTGGGAGTGGTGGCGGGGGTGGAGGTGTCGGTGGCAGCAGCGGAGGCGGAGGCGGTAGCGGTGGGAGCGGAGGCGGCGGTGGTGGCGAAGGTGGAGGCGGCGGTGGTGGAGGAGGTGGAGCTGGTCGGGGTGGTGCTTCGCGGCGGAGCGGCTCCGGTGGTGGTCAGCGCAAGCAGCAGCAGCAGCAGCAGCGTTCTCGGGACATCCCCCCTCCTCAGCAGCTCCGTGAGTGGTACACGCAGCGTCAGCGTGGTGGGGGTTTTGGCCCGTGCACCTACGTCCTTCGCTCCGCCGACCGCGCGGGTGAGTAGTGTGGGGGTGCCCACCCCACCCAGCGCTGCTTTGGCCGCCTG